ACCTTAGATATTTCAAACTATGAACTCTGTTGGATCAAATAGTCTCAAATATTAAAGGATTACGCTATTAGATTGAAAAGATATATAGGTTTGACAATTTGAGTTTGTGGCAAAGACTCAATTTCTAATTCCTTACCATCTTTATTCTCCATATCAAGGCTTATTGCTGTTCTTGATAGTAACTATAGTATGATAGTGAACAATAAATATAATAGTTATAAACTTGATAACAGTTATACTTCTTTCACTTCCTCTTTTGTATATTTCAGTTTTCAAAATCATGATTATAAAACTCACTTAAAGTTTTATTTTTTGCTACAATAATGTATCACTATCACTCTATCACTTTTAAAACAATTATTCGACATTATATTTGTACTCTAACCTTTCTCCGTATTTGTAGTTAGACCCAAATGAAAAGTATTATTTAAAGCAGGACTCCAGTTCAGAAAAATAAGAAGTTGTGTACAGACCTGAAAACTTTAGACAAGGATATCCTTAATCCCGATCGGTTAATTATTCTAAAGATAAATAACAAGAGGAAAACAAGCCTTATTTAATTTCGAGACTAAGAAAAGCATTCATCTCGATATCCACCATTCTAAAGTTTTTAGCTCAGGCCAAACAGCTACAACCTACTTTAACCTTGTGATTGGCATAAAAGAGTGTCAAGTCTTTATGACAGGAATAACCATGTACTGAAAAGGAATCTAATATGACACATTATTCATTTGTAATGCTTAGACCTATATAAATAATATATATATTCAATATTTCGATTTATGTAATGATTGTCCCACTCTGTCAAAGTTTTCTAGTGCATACTTTTAGTGTAACTCAGTATTTGAAAGGCACCTGCAAGTAGATAAGTTGGTTTCCTAAGGTGTGCTTACTGATTTTTTCTCGCAATAAGTATTAACAAAGATATTAAAAAGGGGATTTACCCCTGTGCTTTTTCTATATCTATATATAAATTTGGCTTGTCTGTCTGTTTGTCTGTTTGTTTGTTTTTATCCAATAAGCGTCAAAACGGCTGAACCGATCGGGCCCAAATTTTTTGTGGGACATCACGTGACCACAGGGAAGGTTTACATATGATAAAATTTAAAAAATTGTGTTTTAATGGTTTTTAATTTTGTAAAAAATTAAAATTCTTAAAAATCCACGAATTTTTTTTTAAAAATCCGCGAAATTTTTTCTTCTTTGTTTTAAAATGTAAACAAAAAGAAGTAGGGTTTCCACCGGAATTCCGGGTTACGGTTTACGTACGAAAACGATCCGGAAATTTTTTCCATTTCCATTATGGAAAAGGTTCCGGAAATCCGGAATTCCAGAACGATTTCCGGAACGATTTTTTCCGTAAATCGGAAATTTCAGGGACGTTGTTCTGGAATTACGGAACGTTACGGAATAGTGTTCCGGAAAATTCCGGTTTACGGAACAATTGTTCCGGAATTTTCCGGAAAAAGGTTACGGAAAACGTTGAAGACATCTTAAACTTTTGTAAAAGATAAGTACTATCTACAGAATAATAGAATGTGCGCCTGGTGTAGCTGTATTTAAAGTAATGCTATTGTGAATTATTATTAAAAATATAAATCCTGACTGCCATGTCTCAAAATAATTTCATCTACAGAAAACTGTGGAAAGGAAGACGACATGTATAGCAATCCTTGAGTCTAATTGCTGTTGTTACAAAGCAAATAGGTTAAATAGTAACTTATAAAATCTCTTTTAAATTGGTCTGTATACAGTCTGGTATATAGTACGTAATTGCACCGTGTCTCATGTTCATTGAACTATTTAGAGTCATAATTTAAGTCTAAAAGTCGTCCTCCTATTCCAGAATTTTCTGGTTCTCATTCTATTTATATACCTTGCTCGTCTGTTTGTTTGTCCGTTTGTATCCAATAAACGTCCAAACAGCTGAACCGACCGAGCCCAACATTTGTGAGGAAACTCACATGGCCCAAGTGAAAGTTTAAAACTAGCTAAAAATTTATGCGGGAAAAAAAGTCGAAATTTGTTATTTTTTTAATTTACCAGTTTAAAGCCTAGTTTCTATAAACTCTTATTTATATGGTTCATTTCATCCCATCCTGATCATAATACGGAGGAGGAGAGGGGGGGCATAAGCCTATCCGATGACCCTCTTGAAAAATAAAAACTAATTTGTCAAAAAATATTGTGGGGAAAGTGAAAACTGTAACTGTATAATAGTCATGATGAACTATAGTGAAATATTTATGAAAATATAATTGTAGAACTAAATGCGTATTTAATGTATGTCAACTAATAAGTTTTAACTTTCAAAGTTTTAACATTGCTTTCTATGTCTAATATTGTGTTAAAATTTCCGGTTTACAAAATGGAAACTGGAAATTTTACGGTTTACGTTAAGTTAATCGGAAAAATTTCCGGTTTACGAAATGGAAACTGGAAATTTTACGTAAACCGTAAACATTTGATCCGGAATTATCCCGGAGTTACGGTTTAAACAACAAATTTCCGGATCATTCCATTTCCAAAATGGAAATTTTTTTCCGGAAAAATGGAAACCCTAGCGCGAAGCGCCCTAAAAGCCTAGTAACTTAAAAACGGCTGACATTAGAACATATTAGACTTCTTCACTTTTTTAACTTCATAGTTTTAAACAAATTTAGCAAAAAAAATTGTTATGCATGTGGTAGGGTGTAGGACAGTCAAACAAGGGGTCGGTGTATCAAAAAAATCAGAAATGGTTAATATTTTTTTATTAATTAAGTTACAGTGCTAACATTTATATATTTATTATCAAGCATTTTTCCGCCGTACTTTTTGAACTTTTCTAAATCCTCCTTTGCACCCTATATTTAGGGCCTTTCAAGTGTGATTTTCAAAAATCCAACCGGCTCAGGCTAAAAAGCACAACTCAAACCTTTTTTTGTTGTTAATGTATTAATATATAAAAAAGAGTTCGTTTGTTTGTTACGCGGCTGGATTTTTGAAAATCACACTTTAAAGACCATTTAAATATACCATTTAAAAAAGTAGTTTTGCCAAGAAGAATCAAATGTGGTGGCCCGGAAGGGGAAATAAGGTTGGCTTTTGTCTGCCGTAAGGGAAAAAAGCTAATATGTGGCACGGAAGGGGAAATAGTGGTGGCGCATGGCCGCCTGCCTTCCCCCGCTCGTACTGGTCCTCTTTACAAAACAAAACACCCAATTCATTGCTACGGAGCAAAAACAATTTACTTGCCGCGACTCTTTTTTATTCAATGTACGTGTGTATTACAGAGCTAAATTCATATTTTCAATTTCAGCTGAAACACTCCGGTATGGCAAAGACGACATGAGCTATTTAGTCTAATTTATCTAGGGTGCCAACCTGTACATAGCAATTACAGGCGCGAACTTAGGATTTTAGCCAGTGGGGGGCAAAATTTTTTTTGCCACCCCCCTGGAATTTTTTGTTCAAAAAGTCAATTAACACCATAAAAATACACCAAAAAGACTACATTTTTGGGTGTTACTAACCTTATAGAGTCTAAAATTTATTCCTTTGCTCGAAAAACTAACCTTTTTAACTTTATAAATTTATAAATTCAAATTCATGTCGTTTTAAATATCAAAGACCATCAAGTTGTAAAGATATACGGCTTAAAAATCAGTCAAAGTGGCAAAGTTTCATAAATGATAAAAAACAGTCTATAAACCTAGAGACTTAAAAACTTTGTGCATAATGACATCAAACTTTTATTGATAAAATAATTTAGTCTACAATCATAATCACTGGTTCTGAAAAAGAATAATCTTGCTAAGCAAACGATCGGAGAGCTGGAAGATATTTATCTCTAAAATCCGAATATTTTAACTTTTTTATAACTCTTTGAAACAACTCCTACAGAATTTTACTTGCTAAACTGTAAAGAAGGTTTATAGTTTACTCTGGTAAAGAGAACTTGTCTTTTATTTCGACAATCACAGATTCTAGACTGCGAATTTTTTCGTCGAGTTTTCTTTTTTGAGCTTTGAGGGAATACCTCTGATTTTGGAGTTTTTTCCCCTTTGCTCGTGTTTCCGTCGTACATTTTCTTTAGCTTTGGAATAGCTGGGACGGCATAATTATATTCGTTCAGAACAGTTTTCAGGGAGCAGTTTTGAACAGCTCCGATAATGTTAAAAATTGAGGGAACAGCAGACTAACACTTTTTCCCATTCACTTTTATATAACTAGAAAAATGTTCGTTGCAGATAACATTCGAATTGGGTCTTTTCCAATCTACTATAAGGTTTAACCATTCCTTCCGAATAGGGTGTAAAATAACTCCGGGAATGGAACTATTTGAACAACAATATTTCACTGAGCAATATATCATATTGACGAGAACTGAAGAAGGACATGAGAAGGACTAAACTAACTTAAATTTCTCTCTACAGAACTCATGTACACCACAAGTACTCAATGACAAAACAACAGCCAATGTTCACAACCGACCTAGTTAATCTATATTATAGGAATATCTTTAAAACATCTCATTTATAACTTTCAAAATGAAAAATGTCGTCTTATGAGCAATCTATATTTAACTATGGTTGTAGACCTTAGATGTTTCAAACTATGAATTCTGTTAGATCAAATATTCTGAATTTGAAATATCAAAGGTTTACAACATCAGATTCCAAAGGTTTACATATTTGAGTTTGTGCCAAAGACTCAATTCCTTTATAAATTGACTGTAAGAAAAAATAGAAAAATAGAAAATAGAATACCTTTATTACATCTTCCATCATGTTATAAGCATCTAATATGTCGAGGTCTCGTTTTTGCAAAAGTTTTAGTTTAAGGTATCTTAAAATTTTGTGTTAACAGTGAATTTAGACAAATCCTTCGTCTTTGTCATTGTCAGGTTGTTTCCTTTTAATTTTGATTTTCAAGGGGGGGCAGGGCCCCCCCCTGGAACTCCCAGGGGGGGGGCAAGAGTACTACTTCCCCCCCTATGTACGCCACTGATAGCTAACTAGAATTAATGTATTTATTCATCCCAACAACATGAAACAGAAGACTAAATAATCACGGGCAGCCGTAGTACATTTGAATCTCCGAGCCGGGCCAACCTTTCCAGTTCCAGTTTGTACTGTACCTAGCTTTATGGGCAGGAATAGCCGGTGAAACAAGGTTGACGCGGTCAGACTTTATGCTTCATATAGGTTGAATTTATTTTTATTAAAGGGGCAGAGGTGCGTGTAATGGGATAATTGTGCCCCGTCCACCCTTAATTGAATATTTATTTAACCATAACTTAGTTTAATAATGTATTTTAAAATATTTTTCCAATAAATCATGCATCAATCATGTATAAATCAATCTGTGTAAGAAAGTCAAAGTTTCCGAAACAAATCTGGAAATAAAAACTTTGGAAAAAAGTCCTAATTTTATCAAGTCCTTGGAAAAAATGTCAGTGAAAATAAAGTCCTGTGTTTTGGATTCCTGGGACTCTTTTTCCTGAAATAGTATGGGGGCTTCACCAATAAAGTCTTAGGAGATAAGATTGCAGAAAATAAAGTCCTTAAGAAAATATATCCAATGAAAAAAAACTTAAGAAAAAAAGTTCTAAATCTTGTGAAAATGAGGTCAAGTCTAAAACGCTTTTTCTAAAAAAAAACACTTTTTTATGCATTACTTAAAATATAGTAATGGGTGTTTTTAATATCAATTGCCCCTTTTTTGCATGGCTGTAAACATCCTTTGTTCCCGTGCGTGTTCATGGGACTTTTTTCTCGGGATTTTTTTCTATAAAATCATCCGGAGCCAGAAAAAAAAGTCCTAGTAAATAAATTCTCAAATTGGTAGGATTTTATTTCCAGAGACTTTTTAAAAAAGGAACTTTTTTAGTCCGAAATATTCTGACTTTTTTCCAGAAATTTTTTTCTAAGAACTTTTTGGGCGGTTACCGTATAATAAATCTATGCCTTCTATCTATTGTTTGAAAAATTATAAAAAGTAGCCAAGATTTTTTGGTAGTTTTAGCGGTTTTTTGTCTTCTTAATAAGCCAACTTATTAATTACAAGTTTGTTTTGTGAATCTTCTATGTATTGTGATTAATATGTTACTATGGAGTTTTTGAGAATTATAAAAATAATGAACTTTGAATTAAAAGGTTTAGCCGAAATTTAAATTTTCAATATTTTGTTCAGAAGATGTTAATTTGATAATAAATAAAGTAAAATTCTTGAAATAAAATTCACATGAAAAGAAAATCTTTATCCAAATTATTTTTAGGGGAAAAAAATGTTAAATTCAAACCTAGTTAATCACAGGGTACCAAAGCTGATGCATGGTCAAGATGTTCAAACTGCATTTGTTCTAAAGTCCACTTAGAACCATCAAACTTCTCCAAGGTTCTTTTTTGAGCCGAGTCTCCCGAGCTGAATCCATTTCTTCCTCCAAACACAGTGATAACTCCATTAAGGTTCTCCATTGTATGTCCAACACGCTTAAAATTCATTGAAGGTATTGTCCTCCATTGCAAGGTTTCAATGTTTAAAACTTGAACACTGGAAAAGGATTGTCCGATTCCGTCGTCGAACTGAAATCCGCCACTGATGTAGATATCCTTGTCTTTTAAAGCACAAGCATGCCCTTTTGTTTCAGGAGATTTACTTGGAATTGTAGAAACCAAACCTGTATAAATATTGTACTTTTCAACAATTAGATCAGGTCTCTCGCTGTAGGAACCTCCAATAACCACAACTTCAGTGCTGCTAATGGGAACCACACAATGTTCGGCTCTTGGACTGGAAAGTTTATATGGGAGTTTGATCCATCTCAATCCATCAAACGCCTCAACAGAAGCCCTGAACTCCATGGTACTAAATCCTCCCATAACAAGAATGAGTGATCCTACCGTAGTCATGGAGTGAAAAATTCGTTCTTCAGTCATGCTTTCAACTGTCAGCCAGTTACCTTTATCGTTTCTATAGCATTCCTTGGTTATGAAGTCCACTCCAATGTATGCTCCTCCGCAGTAGAACAGCTGATCGTTGAGAACAGCAGCGTCTAGCCCCCCCCGTGGTTCAGTATCACTAACTGTTACATTGCAAGAAAAGGTCTCCGTTTTACCTCCGGTCCCATCACTATTTATGACTGGGCAAGTCCAATCTTTGTTTAGCTATTTCGTTAACGGTTAGTTCCAACCATTAAAAAAAAACAAGCAGGTAATCGTTAATTTTAAAGGTAAGAACGGAAAGTTTGTTTCATTAACGGCATTTTCCTTGTTTTGGTTACGGTTAGTTAACGATGGTGTTAAAAGTAGATATTCTGCCGTTAACGGTTGTTTTTTGCAAATAATTAAACAAAATTTTGTTACCGATTTGTCAAATTGTTAACGGACTCTTTCGTTAATTTTTGTTAACGGAACTTTGCCCAGCCCTACCTTCAATTCCTCCAAGAAGAACAACTGCCTGTCGTATAATTGGCGTTGATGGCGTACAGCAAGTAGATCCTCCAAATAGTCTTCCTGAAGTGGAGAATATTGGAGGGCAAATGCACACTTGAAGAGGGTTAAAAGTTATTGTTAAGGAGGCTGAAACTGTTTGATGAGTGCAAATTAAAACAATCTAAACAAAATAAAATTTTAATAGATGTTTGAGTATTTTTTCAACAAGGTTTTAACTTTTAAGGGTAGTTTGCGCTTATTGCTCAAGAAATACTTTTATCTATGAACTGTTGCTTTTTATGCCACCATTTTTTTCGTAAAACATAAAACAAAAGATTGCACAGATTTTTTTTAAATGGCGGATATACAAGTGATTTGCGCATTTCTATTGCAAGAAAACATAAGGTAATATTAAGAATAAAATACCTCAAAACCTCTAAAAACGATGATATTTTCCACAACATTAATCAGATCAAAGTTATAATACAATGAAAGTTACTTGCAGTTTCGTCTACTCTGCGTACATATTGAAAACAGTTCTCTCTTGTCGGAATTTGTAAACAAGAATAGATGCTACAGTGTTATTTTAGTATTAGAGGAGGTAAAAAGCATTAAATTTTGATAATTTTGATAATTCACATAATAGTTTCCTATGACCAGAATATTTCATTGATTTTTTATGTGAAAGATGGATCCCATGTCAAGCTTCGACATTCGTCTTGTGTTTACATTACCGCCCAGAGACAGTACACTGCAGTTCAAAAGATGCGTACACCTCTGAAATAACTTTCCTTGCATTATAACCTTGAATCAGATCAAGGTTTCAAGGGTACCGTTGCATGGAGGGTCACTTGAAATTACGCTTACAGGATGGACTGATTTTTGGTAGATACTAATTTAATAACTAACATTTTGGTAACTAATAATTTGGTAACCTCAAAATTTGGTTACTAACAATTTGGTATCTTGACATCTTGGTAACAAATGATTTGATAACATCACAATCTAGTAACTTGACAATTCATGGTAACCTCATAAATTGATTAGGTTAGGGTAAGAGGATTTCTGGGACGAGCACTGCGGCTAGAAAAGGCTAGGGGGCCAAGCACTGCGGCCATATTTATCAAAACTATTACCATGATATCCGATATGTGGGGTTAGGTTAGACTAAGAAAATGTCTGGGCCGATAAATTGTTAACTGAAATGTGGGGTTAGGTTAGGTTTCTGGGCCAAGCGCTGCGGCTAGGACAGACTAGGGGGCAATACCAATACGTGGGGTTTTGTTAGATTAAGACAATTATTATACAAAAAATTATTGTCAAACATAAGTTTCTGTTTGACAAATTGTTAGTTACCAAATTGTCGGTTACCAAATTGTCGGATTACCAAATTGTACGGTTACCAAATTGTTAATAATCAAATTATTTGTTACCAAAAATAACTTACAGTCCCTGTAAGAGAAAGGATACCAAACCAAACATACCGTTAATGTTATATGTTGGATCATGGTCGGTCTTCAACTAAACTTTCTCCAGATTGTAAAATTGCAAAAATGAGTTTAACGTCAGGCTTAGACCGCAAATGTTACATTTTCCGCTTAAGCGAATGTTTGATGCATGGTGTGTGGTGGTGGGGTTCGTGAAGGGGGGGGGATTGCAAAAGAGGGGGGCCTCAAATTTGTAAGATTTTTTTTCTTTGAATTAAAATTGGTATGTAAAAATGCAATATTTAAATAAAGGAATTGAGTCTTTGCCACAAACTCTGATTTTCTAATCACTATATCTTTGGAACCAAATGTTACAGACCTTAGATATTTCAAACTATGAATTCTGTTGAATCAAATAATCAGAAATATCAAAGGTTTACAGAATCGGTTTCTAAAGATATTGGGGTTTAAATATTTGACTTTGTTACAAAGACTCAATTCCTTTACCCGATCATTTCACTTAAAATGTGGTTGGTGTAGGTGGCTAGCTTGAGCCTGCATATTACAAAATTTAAAAGAATTAGAGTAAGATTTTCTCGGTTTGGATTTAAAAAAAGCAATTCTTCTGATGTTTCAGATTAAGATCTTTAATTCACTGATATATAGACATTAGACAACTCTGAAGCTCATCACATTTTTAGACAGCCTAAACTTTACAGTGTCGAAACCAATTCACTTATACTTTTCTGTAGTCCTAGACATATGCACTTCAAAAATGCAAATTACTTGTCTCTACCTCAAGCTGACAAGAAGTAGTTGGCAAAATACTGCTCTATTTTTGAGCAAGAGCGTGCACATCTTGGTTTACAGTCTAGTGCATTAAATGCATTAGAAAATTAGAAATTCTTTGACCTAGACTTGAAACAGGATTACTATGCACTATAAATTATGCACGTGGTGCACCTAGGGGGGCATCCTTTTTTTGCCCCTCCCCCTAGACCAGCAACTAGTTCTATATTGATCTAGATTGTAGACCATCTTTTACTAATGATATTCCAATGAAGAATAAAATTATTAAAAACATCTTTGGCGCTTCGCGCATCATTTTTAATAGTTTTTTTTTTACTATAGCACTGTAGGTTCAGTCGAAGTAAACATTTACATTTACTGTTTAGCACTCATATAAGGATTCATCGCTAATTGGATAATGAGATAGATAGAAAGATAGATGATACTGTCATGCAATTTTTATTGGTTCAGAATAGACACCAAACACAAGACTGAACCCTGATTGTTACTTGTGAAGGGTATTAAAGGTTACAGAAAACTGCAGAAAACCTACGACCGAAGAACCTGCATACAGGAATGGAAATTTTGGACTTTTCTGAAAAAACGTTCGTTTCGTTTCGTTAACGATGAATACAATCTGGAAAAGAAACGATCGTTTTTGAAAACTAATACGTTTGTGAAAGAGATGAAACTAAGTTATGATAGTTTTTAAGAAGAAAAAACAAAACGATCTTTCTCAAAACGTTCTCAAAACGATCGTTTTCAAAACGTTCTCAAAACAATCGTTTTCAAAAATGGAAATGAAAACGATCGTTTTGGAATAAAAACCATCTTTCTGGAATATATTTTATTGTTTTGAAATGTAAACGATCATTTTGAAATGAAATCGATTTGGAATAAAAACGACAAATAAGGCATATTTTGATAAAAAATTTAAATTTGAATCTACAAAATGATCCCCCACCCACCTTAGTAACAATCATTAAAAAACCTCGCTTCAAACGAGAACATTTGCTTAAATAGGATTTAAACAAAAACGATCGTTTTTGCTTAAAAATTATTTTTTTTCTTTCGCTTTATGTCTTTATAACCTTAAACTAACGTTTCGTTATAGTTTTAACAATTCTTTTTTTTATAAAAACGAATGGTTATTAATTTTAAAAAATCCAAAACGAAACTAAAAACTGTCGTTTTTCCGGTCGTATTTTGACACAATATGCCCATTTATATATTTAAAAAAAAAATCTTATTTGCTTTAACTAACTTTGAATGGAGCATAACATTAGAACTTTAAAAGGACAAATTTGAAGCTTAAAGTACAGAGTATAGATTCCAGAATAACAATTTGGAAAATGTGTTCCCTTTAAAGGGAGTGTTCGCAAAAAATGAAAGGGGTATAGGCTTACGGCGAAAAATAAGCGCTTTTGATCGCTACTAATCTTACTTCTATCTGTTGCGTCTGAAAGGAGAAAATTGTTAAAAACGACTTATACTAAAGAACGTAACGTCCATACAAATTGAGAAAATTGCAACATACGACTCGGATCCTATTAAAATCCATTTAATTTCAAACAAATCATTCAGATATTACAACCTACAGTCATCGATTATTTTTCGACGCATTTCTATATAGTTAATATTTCATAATATTTTTTATTTGTTATGCACTTAAAACGCCGAAATAGCTAGCCGCAAGGTGTCTCTTCTCTCGATGTTTTGGTTGATTTCACGTGGCAGAGACACCTAGCGGAAAAAAAGTCGTTTTAAATAAATAACAAATATTATGAAACATTAACTATATTCGAATGCGTCGAAAAATAATCGATGTCGAAAGATTTTAATATTTCTATGATTTGTTTGATATTAAATTGATTTGTTTACGATCCGAGTTGAATGTTGCATCTTTCTGAATTTGTATGGACACTATGTTCTTCGGTATTAGTCGTTTTTAACAATTTTCTCCTTATAGACGCAACAGATAGAAGTAAGATTAGCAGCGATCAAAAGCGCTTTTTTATCGCATTAAGCCTATACCCTCTTTCATTTTTCGCGAACACTCCCTTGAAAGGGAACACATTTTCCAAATTGTTATTCTGGAATCTGTACTCATAGATTAATTAAAATAACAGATAGAACACTATAGATGTCGTCTTGTTAAGATTTGGATGAAACTCGTTCACAGTAACCGTCCCGTTGGCGTAAGACAGATAGAGCCTGTTCTACGCCGACTGCGCAAAACTTTTCTCGACTTCTGCCTCAGGATTATTGTGAACTCGAGTTTCACCCAAATCTTGAAAAGACGACATTTAGTATCCTATCTTTTAGACAACAACATACAACAAGTGGAATTTCCAAATTCGGACTAAAACCATTTTTTCATGTTTTGCATTTTGTAATATGTCACGTGATAAGTTTTCTCCTCTCACACTTCTGCATAATGTGATATAATCAAAACAAAAGGAGGAGCTATACGAGGTCACAAAGTCGTAGTATTAATGCAATTAATTCTATAAATGGAGGGTCACTTGAAATTAGGTCTACAGTCTCTTTTAGCTTATATTTTCTATTAAAAATTGTTTTTCTACAAGTTATTATGTAAATTTATTGTATTTGACAACTAGCATGCGAACAATAAATATATTTATCACTGGTTCACGGCCATTCATTCAAATCCTCGAATTTATATCCAGGACAAATCCTTGAATGATAATTATGTACTGAGGATGACACCTCTTTAAAGCATTATATAATACATGGACATACCATTATTAAGACAAGATTAAGCTATTAGGTCGTTTTACTACCGGTGCTTAAAGATTAAGGCAAAAAATGCTAAAGCTATTCCTTTTTTACATTCCTGATTTTCTATTTATTGAATAAAGAGGGTTTAATCAAGTTTTTTTCCCCTGGAAAGCTTTAGTAATTTAATGCCTAATCTTGAGCTAAGTTTTTTTTTATTTCATAACATTTAGTAAAGTAACAAAATTTAACAATATTCACAATAAAATGGCGCTAGAAAATGGAAACAACTACATTTGAAACATATAAGATCAGATCTAAATTTAAACATTTCTATTTTTGTAAATTTTCATACGTAAAATTGAAGTGCATATCGGAGGGGAGTTATGGAGGATAGGGGCAATGATACCCCTTTCTAAAAATGTATTGTGTATATATTATATTATATTTGTAAAGATGTTTATAGCTTATTTTAAATTTATAGTTCACGTTACAATCTATAGTAAACCAATACAAATAATGTTCTTCGATATAACATAAAATGTTTCTCACAATGTATGGTTAAAACTTTCTGCAGAAACGATAGAGAAAAGAAAAATCGCAAAAAGTTTAAAGATTGCAATAAAGTAAAGAATGAAAACCGACCTCTCCGGGTTAGGATTGTGTATGTCTGTATATGTCGACTACAGTACTGATATACTGACACTATATACCTTATTCAATTATACTCAGAAACTTTTACCGGAGCCGGGGAGCTTTCTCATAGATAAATATATACATATTGGTAAATATTAACTTTGAATTGAATAAATAAGAAACTCCCCTGTAAACATGCAAAATTAAAGATAATGGCTCGTGTTGTATGTTTACTTACACTAATATATTTATATATATACAAGGAAAGATTAGATATGAGTCAGAAGGGGGAAATCCTTAGATAGATAGATAGAAATATAGATAGATAGACAAATAGATAGATAGATGGATAGATAGATAGATAGATGGATAGATAGATAGATAGATAGATAGATAAAAAGAAGGAGGAAAACGGGGAACAAGGAAAGTTTTATGTTTTAAAAGGAATATAAAGCATTTTGCACGCATATAGTAAAAAAAAAAAAAAAAAATTTACAGTGATACAAGGAACTAGATAACTTATATACATCAAAAAAACCTATAAAATCAACGAAATTTTTTAAAATAACTAAAACATTGACTTTAACAGCATTATATGTACAGAAAATGTACAGAAACTGTACTTTACATTTACAGATGAATTGACTAGAGTTCAACACTCGGCTAGAGTTACAGGATCTTAGGAGTTAGTCTGTACATGATTGTACATGTCTGTTTCTGACTGTACACAATTGTGTACATGCTCAAACATGACCGCACAAACTTTACCCTAAAAAGCTGTATCCTCATTTTTTACAATTTTACATAATTCATTTATACTTGAACGGATTTACAAATATTGCACAACTCCGGCACTACAGGCCTATTTTATGTATGGCACAACTTCGAATATTTCACGGTTTTTTTGCAAATATGCTTCAAAAGTTAAATATTGAAGATTTTTTTTCAAAAGTCAAGCAGTCAGCACTATTGCTTACAAGCTTTGAAAGCATTGCATATCTTTGACAATGTGCTTGTTAAACAAAGTATTTACAACATTTTGTAGATTTATCACAGATTTATATTTTTCATTCATACCCAGCACACTTTAAAACATGGAGAAATCAAAATAAATTTTGAATTAAAAAGAAGAAATGATAACTCATTTACACAATCCAATAGTTTACCGCTAGGGTCCTAACTTTGGTTCAATCATACTTCTTTGGTGAGTTAGCTGTCCTTTTTAGGGCTTACATTATAATATTATTTACAATTTATGTACAATTTACGCGTATGTACATTGATATTTTCTGACAAAATCAGAGTGCGCATTTAACTTAGAAGAATAAAAAGTTAAGGGTTCAATAATTTCCTAGAAAGATTTAACTTTGAACCCAAAAGATAAAACGTTGAGGCCTCCTCAAATGATAATAATAATAATCATAATAATATTCATTTCCAAATATTAATAACAAAATTTCAATGTTATCAACAAATATGTAAAATTAATGCCATTAGTAAATCCCAATGAGTAAATAATAAAGTATTGTTAATACTTGTCTGTCAGTTAGTTTGTTCTAATAAATATTAAATTACAGTTCACCAGTGACTCATCTGATTATTGACTGATAGTGCAACGTCCTCTTGAAAGTTCTCCAGACCCTCCGATATAAACTGTTTTATCCGTATTGGTAGGCACAGCTGATCAATCTGTTCCTCGTGGGTCAGCTGTTTCAAGATGGTGGCGCGGCATCTGTCCTGCAGATTCACAAAGTCGCGCTTGAGGACACCCAGTGACATCTCTGTTTTCGCAGCTGTACTACAAACAACAGGGTAAAGGGGCTCTGTCACATCGTTTAACCCTGAAAACGCAACTCCTAGACACAAATTGTCCTTGTAATAGGACAATGTCCCAGAAACTCCATCAAAGTACAGCCCAATTGTCGTAGCGATGTTCTCCCTAAAGCACTTTACATACTGCCTGTGTTTTCCTCCGTGCCAAAGTAAACCCTTGTGGCTTAGTCCCCAACTACTCTCCTCTTCACCAAGCATGTTAACAAAAGCGTCCACGTGGAGTCGCGCCTTCTTTGTGCCAATACCAAACATCATACTGGTCCCAAATATTCTAAATAAAAATATTAATGAATGTATTCTTTAACATCAGTAGACGAACGGGAAAAAGAGATTTTATAAATTTTTTTTTTAAACTGAGACCCAGTGTGGATGCACTTTGTCTTTCATACAAATTGTGTGATGAACGTCGATCGATTGTTTTATTTAGGTTTGATCAATTGTTTTTATTTAGGTTTGATCAGAAATTTCTTTCCAATCTTTGTTAAATGTTATTGTACTTTTCTCCTAAATCAATGCATTACACATAGAATTGGAAAAATGCATGAATGCTGTATACAGTGGACTCACAAAACTCTGATAATTGAGGACACCTTTGATCCTCTTACATTATGATGTAAAATAGTCCAAACTCCAATTAACATTATAAAACATAAAAATAGTTTAGATTTTCAAGGTTCTTGTAAAAAGTTTTCTTTATGACTATTTATATCAAATAAACATAAGATTGCCATTCTTATGGGTTCTTCTGTACATAATATGCATTAGATCTATTTTTGGACTGACCATTCGAATTGTAAATAAAAGTATTTTAAGATTAAACTAAATCTTGTCAATTTCGATCTAAATAAATTACTGGCGAGAATTATAAATGCTAGGATGGGTAAAAATATACATACTTTTCTTGCAATTCTTGTTCAATTAAAAGTGTTGCAAGTATTCTAGATATTTGACACTTGAACTTGGCCTCATTTTGATTAATTGTATCAGCTTGCTGCAGTTCTTACAACAATCTCAGAATACTGATATCATAGATCATATCTGGCAGTATTTGGTTTGGGAAGTTGTATTGTATAGATTCAAGTAGTGCTCCGAAAATTTCTTTTAATTAATGCGAAACAAATAATTGCTAAAATGAAGTTTCGTTTGGATTAAAATTACGGGACATAATTTAGTCTTTAAAAAGTGGATTTTCAAAAATTACATTAATTAACATCCCTAAACACTTCCAAAACTATTTTATACATAATTCATTTGATATCAGTAGTTTGAGGTAGAAAATAATATGGTTACAACATTTCTTAAAGTTTTTTATTTGTTAGATTTCCTAGCATTTATTGAATTCCTCAATATTATTAACTATCATTTTCATATTAATTATAGTAGTTATTTTTACTATCAATATACTCTTTGAAACCAGGTATCGTTTATTGCAAAGAAACGATTACAAACTATTCGTTGTGGATATTTATCGTCAGAATTTTCAAAATTGGTAATTTTTATTTCTGGTTAGATTTTAGTTTGAAAATTTTATGTAAGTAATAATTGAAAAAATGATATAAACATATACAAACCTTTGAGATACATTTATCTCCCAGTAGAATCTACCCCCGTTGAGTATCCTTGTACCGCGTACACCAGCAGTACCGTTGGACCAGTTCGGATGGAAATGCGCAATTCTCTGTTTTGGTCCGTACAGTCTAACCTCGTGGGATTTGTCGTTCTTGTTCCAAGACCAATGGTCCTCGCAGCCATATTTAAGCGGGGTAGGCGCGCAGGTCGGTAGAACCTGTCGGGCCGTGCTGGATGGTCCATCGTACTGGTCCGGGTCCACGCCAGGTAGTACAGGACTGGAACCTATGGACCTAGCGTATGTTGAAGGACTGGAGGCGGGACTAGGTGATGCACTGGACTGCGGGGAGGAAGGAGGGGATAGCCTAGGATCAGGAGAAGATATTGGATCCATCCTCCGTAGATCCGTCCTCACACACAATCATCCTAAATATAAAAAGTTGTAATCTCTGTTTGTCCCGATCAAAATTCAGGAACCCCTGGACCGATTTGCCTCAAATTTTGATTAAGAACTTGAGGGAGCCACGGGAATGTTCTTAGCTAGGTTTTGAGATTCTAAATTGAGTGGTTCGAATTTTATCGGGGAAAATAGCTAAAATCGTAATTAACGACCAAGTGTGGGTAAACGGCGAGAGTAACTATGAGTAACCTGGGCAACGCTGGGTTCCCAACCTAGTGCTAAATTAACCTATTTATAGGGGAGGGGGGTGATTGCAAACCTAGAGCTAAACATTTACTTTAGCTTGACGTGCTTAGGAGTAAACAATTGATTTAGTTTTTATAAATATCTAGTATACAATCAGAGAACAAGAGAATGTTAAGCAACCGACATTTTCTGTAGAGATGCATTAGAATATTTTCTTTTCTGTCCCTTTCCTGTTTATTTTATACACTATAGCCCCCCCACACGGACTTTTACTTCCTTCCTTTAAATCTCCTTTTTAACCCCCTCCCTTCCCATCCATGACCTTTTCCTGTCCCCACCCACTCTTTCCCTGTCCCCTCCCACTCTTTCATCTGCTCCCCTCCCAAACTGTTATCCCCGGAATTTCTATATAATTTAAATCATTTTTTTTCATCATATTTCCGATATGTTTGGAGCATCCTGTTGTATTAGAGGTTTACAAAGAACCAATAGTACATGCAATCATGAAATATATGGATATAGATATCATATAACATATTATATAGATAAAAATAATATATAATGTTAATATTTCCATTCCATTTGTAAACGCCCCATTAATCACATATAACCAATAATTACAGTTTTTGCTAAATGAATAATTATACAAATGTGTTTAAAATATTATGCAAATTTTATTTTATAATTTTTATAATATTTATAAATTTTATTCTCATATTTTATAAAAAGGATATCTGAGACTTTGGGTCTTCAAAATTAGAATTCCGAAATGTCTTCACAAAAAGCATATATTTATATAATCCTTTTATATTTGTTTGCAACCTGATGGTGGTAAACCTTTGATTTTTCAAACTTAGATAAATAGAAAACTTGTGAGTTCAATTTTTAGTGTCATATTTTATGCACAAAAACTATGCGATATATAAAATAAGAACTAAAACCAAACATAATCATGGTGATTGAAATATTTATGCAAATTCACAAGATAAACAAAAGTGGCTTGATAGGACTATACAGGTCTGAATTCTTATCAAGTTTAATACAATTTTAAATATTTTTCAGACCCTTTCCAAAAATTTATATCCCTCCCCTTAAAGGGAAAGTAAGAATAATTTCATGCAAAGATGACTAGATCTGATTCAAAACGGAAACCCTTAAAAGCTTTTTCTGATCAAATATCACTGTTTTAAATCCAAATCTGATCATTTTATTGAGGTTTCTTTACAAAAGTGACTACAGAATGAATATATATATGCAAGAATTATCAGAATTGAAGACGTTTAAGCCAAAAAAATATATTTCCCACTTTACTGAGCAGATAAATGTTTCAAGGGTACCGTTGTAAATCAGGCATTCTTATATTTCCATGAAGGTTTCTTAAAATTGCTCCTACAGTCTCTTTAAGCTTTTTAAAGTTGTATATTACTTATGCATCGTATTTATTTTAGAAAACTGCAAACGTAGATATATCAAAATACATAAATATTAAAAAATCAATATCGACAGAAATTGCTGGCATGGCAATAATCTAACTTAATTCCATCGAGATGGAAGAGGTTAGAGGTCAGAGTTCATGAGTACACTTCAAAAGGTGCAATTTGATTTCTTCCCTTTTACCAATATTATGGAGAAATGAGAGATCACTAATTTATGTAATAAGTTCGATTGTTCGAACACAAACAGTTTTCCGTCATTTTTGATAATCAATTTTTTTGATAATAGCAAAAATATGCTTCTAAGTTTGTATTGGAAAGAAAAGTAAAAGAATGCTTCGAAGTTTGGATTGGAAATACTGTGAGTTAAGAGGTGGATTGGAAACAAGAACGGTTTTGATGTGTAAGGTCAGTATAAATTAGTTTAGAGGTCAGAGGTCATTGTAAGAAGGTCCCAGGTTATTGCTGGGTTTCAAAATCAGAGGTCATGAGAAAACCTATGAGGGGCTCAGAGGTCAGGAAAAAGGTTAGGGAACAGAGGTCATGGGAATTGCAAGAGGAAACCCGGATCTTCAGGACTAGAGGTTAAAAAATCAGAGAAAAAAGGGTTAAAGGATAGAGGTCATGAGAAAACATATGAGCAGCTAAGAGGTCAGAAAAAAACATAAAACGCTGTGCTAAATCAGGAGAAAAGGGGGTTTAGAGATCTGAGGTCATAAAAAAGAGGGTTGCAGGACAGAGGTCAGGAGAGTTGCATGAAGAGGGTTTGAGGCGGAAATCAAATTAGAGGTCATGAGATAAACCTATGAGGGTCTAAAGATCAGGAAAAGGCTAAAATGTTTTGATAATTCATGAGAAAAAGGGAGTTAGAGGACAGAGGTCATGAGCATTTTTTGAGAAAAAGCACGAGGTCATGAAAAAAAGTATTTTATAGAACGGACATCATGAGAATTATAAAAATAATGTTATGTCTGCAGGAGGTTAAAAAATTAGAGATTATGAGAAAGTATATGAGTGGTTAAGAGGTCATGAAAAAAACTAAAATGTTTTAATAAAATGGTTATGAGAAAAGGGGGTTACAGGACAGAGGTCATGAGAAATGTATGAAAAAAACCCGAACCTTCAGGACTGGAGGTCAAACAATCAGAGGTTATGTGAAAAAGGAGTTTAGAGGACGGAGGTAATGAGAAATGTAAAAGTAAGTTCCGAGGGCTTAGAGGCCAGGCAGAATTAAAATGGGTTAGAGGTCAGATCTTATGAGAAGAGAAATTGTTAAGCTCATGACTTTAAAAATAGAATGGAATGCATTAATAAAGGGATAGAAAAGTATTGTGACCTGGAAAATATAAATAAATATTGGACACTATGGGAGTGATTAGATGAAATTTTTATTATGAAATTTCAAACAGGAAAATGGAATTTGGACAATGAACCCTAATCGAGTGTGAAATCGACAATTGAAAATGAACTATGGAAAATGAAGAAATAGTAAACTATCGACAGCATACAGTGTACTTTAAGAGCGACCTTATGACTCATTTCGTATCCATTTTACATCAAGATGTTATGTAAGCAATCTTGTTTGGATATTGCGAATCATTTTTTCTTTCTTTTAAGCATATTTTGAGAAAATAAATTTAAGTACATGTACATGAAAGATTAAATTGTATAGTGTACAGTGTATATATACTAAATAGTGTAGGTATAATGTACAGTGTGTACTAGCCTATAACTAGGAGATATAGGATGGATGTATAGTAGGGGAATTCCCCTGACACTCACCAGGTCATAGAACTTTCCCCTACCCCTAACTTCCTTCAAAATCCCCCCCCCTTCATCCCTAGCATTCCCCCAATACCTGACATGCCTTGTATATATACAGGATGTTTTGAAGACCCAGATATAGAGGAAGGGAGGAATATTGATAAATATTATAATCTGACAGGTAGATAGGTAGATACTAGAAAGGTAGATAAATAAATAGGTAGATAGGTAGATAGGTAGATACTAGACGGGTAGATAGGCAACACTACACAGGTAGATAGGTAGACACTAGACAGGTAGATAGGTAGACACTAGACAGGTAGATAGGAACACACTAGACAGGTAGATAGGTAGACAGGTAGATAGGCAACACTAGACAGGTAGATAGGTAGACACTAGATAGGTAGATAGGTAGACAGGTATATAGGTAGACAGGTAGATAGGCAACACTAGACAGGTAGATTGGTAGACACTAGATAGGTAGATAGGTAGATACTAGACAGGTAGATAGGTAGACACTAGACAGATAAATAGGTAGACACTAGACAGCTAGATAGGTAGATAGGTAGATACCAGACAGGTGGATAGGTAGATACCAGACAGTTAGATAGGTAGACAGGTAGATAGGTAGACAGGTAGATAGGTAGATAGATAGGTAGAAAGGTAGATAGGTAGATAGATATACACTAGACAGGTAGATAGTTAGACACTAGACAGGTAGATAGGTAGACACTAAATAGGTAAATAGGTAGACACTAGACAAGTAGACAAGTAGACACTATAAAGCTAGATAGAGGTAGACCCCAGACAGGTAGATGGGTAGACACTAGACAGATAGATAGGTACAAACTAGACAGGTAAATAGGTAGACACTAGAAAGGTAAATAGGTAGACACTAGACAGGTAGAGGATTAGACATTAGACAGAGAAAGAAAGAAAGAAAGAAAGAAAGAAAGAAAGAAAGAAAGAAAGAAAGAAAGAAAGAAAGAAAGAAAGAAAGAAAGAAAGAAAGAAATAGCTTATTTATGTTCTTTGTAATCAAAGGTAAAATTTTCCTTCCCTCAAATAGAATATTTTATTTTTACTTTTATCCACCATGAATAAGTTTATGACAAAGTAAAGGGTTGGAATTTTAATAAAACTAGATTGTAAAACATTTTATTGTGTTTCAAGCAAATACACCTCGACTTACGTCGACTAAAGTAAAATTGATTTTATCATAACTCCTCTTATTGAAGAGCTGTTGAGAGGAACAAACGTGTTTTAAATTTATATATTTATCAAATAAATTAGCTTTTTTTTGCATTAACTTAGAACTAGAGGAGCAAAGGAGTCACAAACACGTGACAGTAATGTCAATTGAATTTGACCTCCTCCTCCTAGTTAATTTGTATGGTAGACTGTAAGAGAATATTTAAACTTCATATTTTGTCATATTTTAAGGGAAAAAAAGTATCCAAATGCGTATATCCAAGTTAGGATCATTACTGTTAGAATTCCAACCAAAGAGAAATATCCAGAAATATCCTGTTTTCTGAAAAACCTGAATTCCGGATTTTCCATAACTTTTCCGAAATAGAAATGAAAAACACTGAATACAGGTTTAAGTGGGACCAACCATGTTTGAGCCGCGTCTCAAAGGATAAGGTAAAAGTAGACTTTGCTACATCGTATCTCCAATATTTTTATTTGTAAACCCAAGTATGAGAAAACAAAATTTACTTTGTTACATATTAAGTATCTATTTAAAATACGCATGTATCGCAAATAAATATATCAAAGTATAAAGAAAGCTGAGCGTTATACAATAATTGTTAATATCTCTTTTGATACAAATATATATATAAAAAGTTGTATTGTAACCTAGAAGAATTTGACAACAGAAAAGTTGAGAAAAGTTATTTTTTCTTGTGAAATTGTTTTTAAGATGTGTGTTTGAAAAAACTGGGAATTCCCGTGGAAATTCTTAGATAAAATTCTGTTTTTAACTCAACCTGTCAGATATATAGATTATCTAACACCCCTGGCCAGTTTCACATCGTAAACTTTTATATTTATCTTTGTCACTCAAAGAATTTTAAAATATTTTTAACGAATAACAATGACTCAAACTTTGTCATTAGTATATTATTGAATGAATTAATTGAAAGTGAATAAATTACATAAGTATCTTTATCTTTAAATGAATCGAGCCATTCTTTTCCATATACCCAATTTTTCGAATATCTATATCTTTGCAACCTGGTAGTGTAAACCTTTGATATTTCAAACTAAGATAATTTGATCTAACAGAATTAATAGTTTGAAATATCTAAGGATTAGAAAATTAAATTGTGTGTCAAAATATCTCCCCCCCTGGAGCAGTGAAATCTTTGGACTTCAGGAAGTTTTTAAGTCCCAACGGGTGCTGAGCCCCCACCCCCTGGAAAATAATGTAAGCGCCCCACAAACTCTTGACTATGCTCCTGAAAATCCAAAACTTATTCGTTTTTCTCAAAAGCTCAACAAAAAAGAAGTTATGACTGAAAACATGTCGATGTTTTCTTTTACAAATTCAAAAAAGTATTTATGAATGACTGTCATCTTAAGCTTTCCAGTCATAAGAGTTCTTCTAAAAATTTATTATGCTTACTCAGTAATATGCATAATTAGACAAGATTTATAGTTAGAACATAGCAAAAGAATACACAGTAATAGACTTTCATGTACACATATGTACAGCGATATAGCGGTTACACTTACAGGTTTGGAGCCGTGTAGATAATCTTGTATTTTCTACTGTACAGAGGCTACTGTAGAGTGTAGAGGCCGGAGATCTCTTTTCCCTTAACAGCCTCCGTAATATTGATCTTACAGACTTTCTATACTTAGCCTAGCTTATAAACCTTTATCAATAATATTTCAATTGAAATATTTAGTAAATTCAAACAAATATTTTTCAGGAATATATCAGAGATTTTTGTTCTTATATAATTAGTTTTTCATTCTGCTGAGATAGATGATACTCTTGTCTAAATAGAGTCAACACGAAGACGACATTGTTTAATATCATTTTATCAATTTTTATGACACCCACCCTCCTAATACTTGAATACTGGCTGCATGCAATTACAGATTTATTTTGGGTGGAAGACATACCGATTTAGATAAATGGAAAAGAAAAAAATGCAAAATTATCGGTGTGATTTCCTAACTTCTTATTAAGTACTAGCTGAAGGGCCCAGCGTTGCCTGCGAAAAAAAAAAATTTGAAAAAAATTTGTATTTTTTGTAGCCTATAACACCCAACACCCCCCGGCCACCCATAAGTGTCCACAAAAATTTCAGCCCAATCGGTCCAGCAGTTTGGCCGGCTATATGCAACACAGAAACAATCTCAAGGAATAATAATTGTCTTAAAACATTTTTTTAAAAGTGAATATTTGCAAATTATCTTTTTTCCATCTCATAATCTGAGTTCGTTTCCTTTATGTCCATTTGACAGCCCAAATTTTTATTTTGAATAATCTTTTTTGTTTGTTTATCTTCTTGTGATTTTTTTACAATTTTTTTTTTCGATTTTGATGGTTATTATATCGTTAGAACTGACGAGGGTCAACCCAGACCGAAATATATTTTCAATAAATGTGGAACTAACATCTACTTTATTTACTCTACAGAGGTTTGGTCCATCCTGGGTCCATCACCATCACCGAATTTTAAATATATACGAATGTCTTGTTTTATTATATAGATAAGAAGCCGCATGATTATTATATTGCAAAATCTACATATATTCAAACCCTTTATTCTTACTTAACTCTCTAACATTCTTAAAAAGAAAATTTATAATTTAAAAACGTAAGATTAAACCATTAAATTTTACTTTAATTTGAAGAAATTTGATTATTTTGCAAAACATAGAGTTTTACTGAAATAATGTGGATTTTTACTTGAGTACTGCATGTAATAAGGACGGTGTTGAGACATTGCATAATATATTATAGGACATTTCATATGACAGGATATTTAATAAACAGGATATTTCATAAACAGGACATTTAATAAACAGGATATTTCATAAACAGGATATTTCATATGACAGGATATTTAATAAACAGGATATTTCATAAACAGGACATTTAATAAACAGGATATTTCATAAACAGGATATTTCATAAACAGGATATTTCACAAACAGGATATTTCATAAACAGGATATTTCATAAACAGGACACTTCATAAACAGGACATTTCATAGACAGGACATTTCATAAACAGGACATTTCATAAACAGGACATTTCATAAACAGGACATTTTACAGGCAGGACATTTTACAGACAGGACATTTCACAAACATGGCATTTTCTTCTTTCAAGTAATCTTATCTTATGAATTATACTCGATGATTTTTACTTCACATTTTATTCTTATTTTACTTAACATTTTATTCTTATTTTTGCTTTAAATTGATTCAATCTCAAGCTAATCACATTTTCTAAAATTGTGGCACATAAGTTTTAATAACCCAAAGATGTCTTTGAAAAAAATGCTTTTTTTGTCTATGAAATTAACATTCCATGCAAATTCTTCTCTGTCATGAAAGAGTTGCTCAGTCTATGATATGTCCTCTCTATAAAAGTCCTATCTATGAATTTCTTTTTCTATAAAACGTTTTATCTATGAAATGTCCGATCTATGATTTTGTTTTCTATGAAATGTTCAGCTTTGAAATGTCTTTCTATAAAATGTCCCAACATCTTATTTTATTTTATTTTAGGTCATTATTTAAGATTGTGTACTGAACAACTATGCTCGGAAGACGTTAAACAAATGTTTAATGTCTAAAATCAAAATAAATAACGATGCAATTTAAAAATCTTAATACCCGGCCTTGAATTCTTTCTGAGGACACATCTTATGTTGAAAATCTATTTATGTTTTCAAAAAAGATTTAGCAAAAAAACAAAAAGATCAATTGAGAGTCCACAGGGATTCGGTCATGAATTTAATTTCAAGACTCATAACTTTATTTACTTTCTGTTTTTGCTATCTCTAGCCATAATAGTAATATCGTAGTTAAGGATGGACCGGACCTATATTATATATATAGATTCGTTTGACAGAAACTTTTAATGTTTTTAAGACTTTGAGAAGGTTTTACGACAATATGAGAAGGTTCCAACATTTTAAAACTTTATTCTGCAGAAGTTTGCTTTATCAAACATGCAAATTTGTTACCCTAGAAGAAAATATATGACAAAAACGCGTTTTCTGGTTTTTAAGGCGATCGTTTTTTGTTCGTTTTTGCCATATATTTTCACCGAGGATAACAAAGGAATTGAGTCTTTGCCACAAACTCTGATTTTCCTATCCCTATATCTTTGCAACCCAATGTCTTAGACCTCATGTATTTCAAAATAAGTATACTGTTAGATCAAATAATCTAAGTTTGAAATATCAAAGGTTTACTCCATCAGGTTCCAAAGATATGGGGATTAAAAAATTTAAGTTTGTGACAAAAAATCAATTTCTTTGCATGTTTGATAAAAAAACAAACTTCTCCAGAATACAATTTTAAATCGTTTTACCCTTCTCACATTGTCGTAAAACTATTTGAAAGTCTAAAATGTTTAAAGTTTCTGTAAAACAAATCTATCTATTGCCCTTTGCTAATCGTCGTATCTACGGGGTCTAACTTTCCTAAACGAAGAAGGAATTGTTCATTTTTAAGGTCGAAGGGTCATTTGACAGTTAATCCTGACAGTGATATAACAGTGATATAACTAGAAAACTGTATAGAATAGAACGTTACGAGCTTTACTAGTAAATTATCAAATTGGGCTTTTAACATTGCACAAGTGCTCTGCCTCAAGTGACTTGAGTCTAAAAGTCGACTTTCTATTCCAGATTTTTCTGTTTATCACTGTTTTCCTTAGAACCAAACTTTTCATTGCTTGTATACAGGGGCGTACGAGGGCTTTTGTTTAGGGGGGGGGGCACAATTTGCGCGCGTAAGCGCGCAATAAAAAAATTTTGGTCCCCCCCCCTTGGCATCATTGGTCCCCCCCCTTAAAAACCCCTTTTTTGAAAAAATTTAATACCTTTTTTAAATTTTTTTTGCCCCCCCTCTCCTACCTGGACTTATTTTGTTCACCATAAAAATACACCAAAAAGACTACTTTTTTGGGTGCTACTAACTTTAGAGTCTAAAAATTATTCCTTTGCTTGAAAAACTAACTTTTTGACTTTATAAATTTATCACTTAACTCCATCACAGCTAACTAAATCAATAATCACAGCATCATTAAAAATTATATTTTTACGAATAAACGAAATTTCTTCTGAAATTTTTAGATAGAATTTACTCAATCTACATTTTAACCAAATCTTTTGAGCTACAATTTTCTGGGATTTGCTTGCACAAACATTTCAATGATTTTTTTCAGTAGAGAGCTCAGACAGCCTTATAGGGTGTAAAGCTATAAGTGCAAAATCGTTAAGTCTGCTCTCCGTCATAGTACATCTTGTGTAAAGAAGTATTCTCTTTAGAAGGGTAAAACTTTTCTCTCCTTATATTAACAGTGAATTTAGACAAATCCTTAGTCTTTGTCATTGTCAGGTGTTACTTTCTAAACGTAGTTTCCTTTTAATTTTGTATTTTTGGAACTCCCAGGGGGGGGCAAGAGAACTACTGCCCCCCGGCCCTAGGTACACCACTGTGCCTGACCTGAGGAAGGGAAATGCAAGCAGATGTAATATTAAAAGAGCCTCCCCCATGGATGCCCCCCCTCAGCCTCTCAGGGGGGGGCACGCGTAGAGGGGGGCGGGGGGGGCGGCCCCCCCCCCTCGTACGCCCCTGCTTGTATAAGCTAGTGTTGAACACCTACTTCATGTTATATATCATGTACTGCATGTAAACATACGCTAAACTTTCTTATACAGAAATAAATCAACTAAGTTAAACTGCCTTTTTAAATATTTACGAGGAAGTCTGGTTTTGGCTTGCGGAAATACAATGTGCAGGTCCTTAAATATATGTGCACTGTAATTTGATTTAATTAAACTTTATTTTATCCATTGTACAAACAAGGAGTACGGGGGGGGGGTCTCAGAAGTTTTGCGTCGAATAATAAATATTTAATGAATTCCTTTAATGTTGAAAGTATAAAATGGAGTCCGAATGATATATAAGATGAATGAATGTGAAAAGTTTAAACTCCACAGAGGATCAAGTATCACAGAAAAGAAACGGAGATCAAAAGGTTGCAATTTATCATGCAAAAATCTAAATCAAGTTTGCCAATTACTTCTTAAAGCTAAAAACATGTTCTCAGCTCGAAGCTTTGATGCAATTTTTCATATCATTTTTGGGAATATCAATAGAAAGAGTGGTTTAAACCATTGATAAAGGGATTAGAAAACTAGAGTTTGTGGCAAAGACTCAATTCCTTTTTGAATCAAAATAGTTCTAAATAGAATTTTAAATCAATTAAAATTCTAATTATTTACTAATTATTTATCAAAAGTTAAAAACAGCAATGCTAATAATATACAATTGAATTCGTCTACATACATACTTTGCTTAGTTTGTTATCCAATAAACGTAGAAAAGGGCTAAACCGATCGGGACCAAAGTTTTGCAGCAACTCTCATGGCTCCAGAGCTGAAAACTTTAGAATAGTTGATATTGAGATTAATGCTTGATCCTCTCTTTTTCATAATATCGAGACTAATTAAATCTAATCTAATTGTATCCTGAAAAGTGTATAAAAGTCAACAAATCAGAGTCGCGTATATGAAGCAGGTTTATTTGAAATTTTCGCGCCAT